TCAGAAAATGCTTTCTGTTTCTGCTTTGCAATCTTCTGTAGGTTCCCTGAGCTGACTTGGGAATGAAAGTCTTCATTATCATTTTCCTAATTTGTATTCTTTTAAGTCTAAATTTAAAAAGGCCACCGAGGGACTTCTCTATCTCCTCCTAATGCCTAGCTGCCTAGATTATTAAGGATATTGAGAATATGGCACTCCGCTTTCTCCTTCTCATGCAGCGTGTATCAGTGCAGGAGAGAAGAGGACTCCTTTGGTTGTGTGTCTGTGTTATTCTACCGTTTACCTTTTCTGACTGAGGCTGGGCTCTTTAGCCCCACTCTCGTTACAACATCCAGACCAGTTACTTTATTTCATCGGACACCGAAGAAAGAACTTCTTAAAAAAAATAGTACTTTAAGAAATTAGTTTGGCAGAATAATCCTCCCTCCCACCCCCAAGAGGGGAAAATGGAGCAAAGATTGACAAGGTGTAGCTTCTTCTTTTAAATGATTTAATTTGGAATAGGTTTCAATCAACAGCACAAAGGATTCAAAACACCTTCCCTGGCATCTCTGGAGCCAGGACTCACCACAGACTCTGAAGGAGCATTCTGTCATGCAGTGCATACAGGCACACAATGGATCAGACCTCGGAGGAGGCCCTGCATTCTGCCTCCTGAAATGGTTTCTTTGCTGCAGGCCTGTTCGGGAGATGTTTATCAGAAAGGGGTGGACAGGTCTGCAATGGACAGGCCCCATTCTGTCTCCAGTGGCCTTTTATTGCTAGTGATAGGTGCCATCAGTGTCTTGCCTGAGAAATGGCTGTGCTGCAGGCACCTCTGTCGGAGCATCTTATTGATCTGTGCGCCGCCTTCCTTCTAGGAGAGCAGGGTAGTAAAAAGGCAGAGACTGCTGGCTGGAGCAGCTATGGCACCGTGGGCTGCAGCCGATCTCTGGGGTGAGTGCAAGGGTTACTATCACCACAGCTGCTCCACTCAGAGTCACAGAGCCTCGCTCCAGGACACATACTAGACTGGACCTCACAAGGACCCCCCACCCCACCCCAGCAAGATAAGTGGTGCTTCTGAAATTTTTTTCCCCATCGAGGCTATATGGCTGAGATTCATTTTCCCGCCATTGACCCATTGGACCTCTATAAAATGGGATTGAAAGCAATTAATCTGGGAATCTCATTCATAAATAATCCTTCTTGGCCCCCCAGCATGGGTATATAAGTAGAGATTTATAAGTTCAAACCTGCAGGCCAAACCGCAGGAAGCAGTGCGTACCCAGCCTCTGGCTTTGCACATGAGATTAAATGGTTATAATCAATATAGTGCCATAAGCATCAGGGGACATTTTTATGGCATTTACATAAGACTTTATAATGAAGAATAGACGGGATCTGCCACCAGCTCAACCCGGGCATAAAATGCATCTTATAAATAAAAACACAAAGGCACTTTGGCAAAAGTTATACTGTATGGCTGTTACAGCTAGAGAGAGAGGTCTGTAGAGAGTAGGCTAGGCTAGGCTGAAATTAGAGTCAGAATGTGCAAGGGTATGCCCGCGGTGGGGACGGTGGCATTGCTGAGTTATAGCTGTGTGGCTAAGGATCTGGTAAGTGTCTGGGCACTGACCACGATCCCCTTACCTTTAAGCTACATGACCTTGTGTTGCTCTAGTTCCCTTTGTATCAATTAATTGATGAAAATCATAGTACCTGCCTTCACGTGGTTAATTTTTCCTCTTTCGTGGTACAGGGGTTCATATCTAGGATTTTATGCATGTCAAAGTTACCATTTCACCACTGAGTGACGACCTTAGCCCCACATAAGGTTCCTCTTCAATGGGATGAAATGTAGACAGTGTTTAACTCATTCCTGCAGCATGTAACTGTTGAGAAGGAGACTGATGGTGGTGGCGATGTTAGTGATGATGGTAAGGATAACGGTGCTAGCAACAGTGATGAAGGCAGTGGTCAGCTGGTATCTGAAAGGATGACGGGGCTGGTATCCAAAATGTACCGTATCACAAAGTATAGCCAGACATCTTACTCATTGTCAGGTAAGATGCAGGCTCAGCAGGTCACTCTCACGCATAGCTGGTGACAAAGAGGCCCAGCCAGGGGCTATGTCTCTGAAATGGCTGATTGTCCTGCAGAGCTGGTCCTGGACCCCTCCTTGTCGTCACTTTCTCTGACTGTGTTGTGCTCCACTGGTGGTGAGTCCTGAGACTGGAAACTCATCTTTACTCTGAAGAGTGGCAAGCTCTGGTTTGCTATGGCAAACCTCCAGATGCCAAGGAGATGATTTTGCCAGCACCTTCATTCCCTATTCCTGTTTGTTTGATTTTGTCCATGATGTGTTCATCCAACGTTGCCAACTCACAGTGAGTGTGGCAAGTGGGAGATCCAAAGCAGGTGACACCTGAGTTTTGATGTTATTAAGGACCCAGAATTCTGGGTACCCTTTCTGGGAACAAGAACCCATGTTTGACTCCAGTTGTCCCTCATGGAGCCACGGGAGTCTGAAACCATCTCAATAGTTAACTTGTACTGAGCCTGATCTAGTGCCAAGCATTCAGGGGAACACTTTACAAATGAGACCAGAGTAAAGCTTGGCAGCAGCCTGCAAAGAAAGCCCCGTATCTGTCAGCATTCTTGGCTGTAAGCGGCTGAGGCTGACTCAGTGTTGCAAGAGGAGGAGGTTTATTAGAAGGGTGTTGGTGGCTTCTAGATCTGTCAGATGGAGGGGGGACAAGGCTCTGGAGGGAGTGGGGACTTGAGAAGCCCAGAGAGCTGGCTGGGCTGTAGTTTCTCCTCCTGCGCTGGTCTTAGACCTCTGCTGGAAGCCCTGCTTCTTTGCTGCCCCGACTAACTTGTAGGTGTGCCCAACCCCTGTTGCTACTATCAATTAGACTTCCAGCCATCTCCATGCTGCCTTCAAGCAAGACTGGTTGAGTGTGCACGGAGAGCTGCCCTCTGGCTGAGAAAGAGGTCTGCTCTGTTTTTCGTCCCCAATATCAGGCAGGCTGTCTATCACCAGCATTGTCTGCCCCCGGGGAATCACTGAGAGGAATTTTGGAGGTTGGAGACTAAGATTGTCCAAATGGATAAATACCTTCACAATAGCACGCACGTTCTTCTTGTGCAGATTGATAAACAGATGCTCAGAAGGGCTGGTACGCTGCCCAATCTCATACAGGAAACAAGTGGCAGAGCTGGGCTTTCGTTCAGGATTCTTCTGTTCCACGACTAATCAAGGCTCTGTCTTTGATTAGGGAACGTGCTGGGGGTGGGGGTGGGGGTGGGAGTGGGCCAGCTGGCTCCACTGCGGTCCTCTAGAGATTAATCGATGGAAACTAGTGCCTTAAGTACCTGGGGTTCTTTAATCCAGGGCTGTAGGCATGATCTTAGGGGCCTGCCCAGGCAAGGCTCCCTTGTAACTGCAGGGATCGGGGTGATTTCTGGTCATCAGGGTATCTGCATATCTGTCATGTTCCACTGGGGAAAGCCAGAGCAGATTTTGATTCACGTTAAAGCACTTGAGGAAGCTTTTCTCAGATGCCTCCCACAAATATCTCCTCGAGTCTTGTTGGCTAGATGGAAGTGGGGTATGTGGTCACTACTCAGACACCTGCTGGATGCAGTTCAACTCTGATTTACCACTGGTGCTGGAACAAAATCCCAAACTGCATGGCCTATAAAGGCGATGGAGATGAGGAGGGGCTGCAGCGATGCAGGGCATAGCTCTCTTCTTTGGAAGGCTAGCTCCATTCTGTTCCCTTGCACACTGCTTTCTTCCACCTGTGACTCCCCCGACTCCCTAAGGGACAGGGCCACCTAGAATAACCCATGCCTCACTTATAGGCATCACCTCTATCTTTCATCTTAGTTTCCTGGATTCCTGGAAGGCCTCTGCTGTTTCCTGTGGACCCACCCCAGCCCAGAAGCTGTACTGAGCTTAGTGGTGACTCTCTGGATGATCCTGTAGGACAATCTCTAGACAAGGAGGCCCAGGGCACAGTCCACAGATCCAGTATTATCTGGTACTATGGAGGGACAGCTTTGGTAGGAGCAGGGAGGGGAATCTCCCTGACCATTTGTGGCCTTGCTTTTGTTGTTGTCGTCTTTAGGGATTCTGGAAGTCTATTCTCTTACTTCTTATTCCAGAAGATTCTCTGAGGAAGGTGTAGGGTCTTTCTGAATGGTGACAGAGCTGCGCAAATGGATACCATGTCACATTTACCAAAAGAAAAGCTACAGACAGGCTAGGACACAGATGAGTATGTAAGTCAGAGCCTTACCAGGGCTATAAGAACATCTATTGTCAAACTGTGCAGTGTGGCAGTGGCAGCTGCATCTGCATGAACCCTCCCAAGGTCTGGGCTATGTATGAGTTGACTCCAGCCTCTGGACTGCAAGTCTCCTGGCACGGCATGAGTGGAGGTGAGTGGACAGATATCTAAAGGCTCTCCCTTCAGGGCAGGAAGAAAAGTGACTGAGAGAGACACATGCTGGTTGCTTGGATTTTGAAAGGTTGGCTCTTCTGACCTGGTGCACTGGGAAAGACATCAGCTATTTATACTAAAGTGTGCCAGGAGGCCTAGTCAGAAAGGCTGAGGAAGAGGTCACTCGGCTCAGTTCGTACGAGCTCGGGCTTCTTGTTGCTTCTGTACCTGGCCTGGGCCTCACAACTGAAAGTGCTCTCTACCAAGCCACCACATCACGGAGAGTAACTGAGAATGTCCCAAGACATACAGTCATTGGCTTTGTAGATCTCCATGCATTACAACTAGACAGCCTTATTCCATGCAGTAACCAGGGGATCGTGAGGGAGAGACAGATCAGGGAGAAAACAACTGTAGGAGGGCCAGAGGGCAGGCCTCTAAGGTGTCTCTACATCTCTGCCAGCTGCACACTGACCACATGACCCTAAGCAAGCCTAGCCTTGCATGTAGAGTCCATGTTTCCATGTGTACATGAATTGTTGAGTTTGTTATCCCTGTGTTTTTTTGCAGACCCAGTGCTTCATGCTCACACACCTGTGCCTCAGTGGCTGCACTGAATTCCTAGGAAGAGTACTGATGTGCTGAGTTATTCAACAAGTTGGGGAAGGATCGGAGAAGTGAGCCCATTCTAAGAGTAAAAACCAAGTTTTCCTGCTGCTACCGTCAGAGTGAATTCTGGGTAAAGACATTCAAAATGGATGAATGAATGAATGAATGAATGTGTGTTAAATTCCCAGAATTAATGTAGATTGCAGAGATGCTGCCTCAGCTAGGCCTTTAGAGGGAGGGAAGTTCTAGTCTGCTTGTGGCTAGACACTCTTGCAGGTGATATCAGAGCTAGCCACTGACAGAGAGCTTGGGTCTCGCCCGCAATTTCACACGGATTTCTGGTACTAATGTAGTTGTCAGGATTGCAGAGTTGGATGGAAGGAAAAGTATCCATCATTCCTGAATGGGGCCTCCCTAGAGCATGTCACACTTCAGCTGAGCCAAGGACAGGTGCTGCTGGACTCTGTGGGAGTGTGCTGCAGCAGTGTGCAGGTGGAACAGGACTGTCATCACAGACAGGAGCTCCTGAGAGCTGCAGGTGACTCAGAGCGCTGTCCGCGGCTCCATGCCAAAGTTGAACAGTGTTTTTGAGGGTTCTGTAGGCCATGAGGTCAAGGTAAGACCATCAGTAAAAGAGTCTTCTATGGGGGAGGAGGAATGGGATGAGGGACTGTTGGAGGGTGGACCTGGAGGGTGATAACGACTGGACTGTAAAAAAAAAAAGAAAAAAAGATTTAACAATAATAATGATAATAACAAATAATTTAAAAAGAGTCTTCTGGCCCAGCAAGAATTTGTTTTCAATTTGTTGTCAATTTTCACCAGCATTTAATTTTTTTTCAAGGAAGTCACAAGATTTCCTACAGGCCAATTAGAGCACCAGAGAGTGACCTACTAGGGAAGAGTCCTAAATTGTTAGCTTAAGAGCCTTTAGTATTTTCCTTACTTTCATCTTTATGCATGTGTACTTATGTATGTATCTGTGTATGTCATGGCAGTGTCTGCTGAGACCAGAGCTGGGGTCGCAGGTGGTTTTAAAAGCTGCCCCACAGCCAGGCAGTGGTGGCACATGCCTTTAATCCCAGCACTTGGGAGGCAGAGGCAGGCGGATTTCTGAGTTCGAGAGTTCGAGGCCAGCCTGGTCTACAGAGTGAGTTCCAGGACAGCAAAACTGCCCCACATCAGAGCTGAGAACTGAATGTGGTCCTCTGGCAGAGCAGCAAGCACTTTTAACTGCTAAGCCCTGTGCTCCCCGCAACCCACCACCCTCACTAGACTTCTAATCATGTTTGGTTCTGGGTCATTCTTAAACAATTCATGTTCTGGTACAAGCCTGTAACTCAGTGATAGGACAGTGCCCACCACGTACAAGATCTTTGGCTTGATCCCTGGCAATGCAATAATAAGTAAATGAGTTATCAGTTTATCAGTCTGTAGTAGGGTATCTGAGAGTCATCCTGGTCAGGGCTTCAACATAGAAATGCCCTGACTCAAAGACAAATCTTTGCCCATCAGGATCCAGTACACATATGTATTTCTAAAAAAAAAAAAATTGTAAAAAAGAATAAATGAAGAAGATGACGGATGATTAAGGTGAAGTGTTTTTAATGCATTGGTTCAGAAGGTAGAGCCCATGGCCAGCATCACCTGGGAAATTGCTAGAGATGAGGGTTTCCAGGTTCTGTTCTGCTAGTACCTTTTCTAGGAGCCTCCCAAGTCTTCCAGGTGAGCCAAACACTTGCTAAAATCTAAGAGTTGCCTAATCTATTCAACAACAACAACAACAACAACAACAACAGGCAAGATGAGGTGCAGTATAAAAGAGGCTACACTCACTCCCCTCACAGGCTGCTCCTGGTTTCCTTCATTTCATATCAGGAGGTGTCCTTTGTTACCTTAGCTGGTCTAACTCATTTGCAGTTCTCTCCAGAGAACAGCTCATCACCAGCTCCAACATGGCTAGCTCATGCACCATTGGGGAGTGGCTCAAAGGCTTCTTCAGGGAGACTGCCCTATCTAAACTGCTCTCTTTCAGATCCAGTTCTCCTGAGTGCAGATGAAAATTGTCTTCTAGTCCACATCAACTGTGAAGAAACGGTCCCTGGGATATAGTAAATCAGTAAATACTAGTAGAGAACACAGAAGCGGAGTGAGCCTTCATCAGAGGGACCAGCATAAACTGGAAAGTGCATTTTCAGGCCCCAAAGCTTTGCCTCACCCTGCACCTGGCAGTCTTTCCTTCATCCAGGAATGCTTTCCTTAGCAATGAAAGAACACAGGCAGGATTCCCTCCTGCAGGTGTTTCTCGGCCCTACTACTTTCCATTGGTAATATTCTCCATGTTTGGGTACCTGATTTGAGTGTCGCCTAGGATGGGACTTCAGAGAAGGCCAAGAATGCTCTTTTTCTTTACAAAGGATCCTCTTTCTCCCCCCTCACGTGTGAGCCACATCTTTAGATTCAGCCTTCTGGCGAGTAGAAAGAGCAGTGGCCTGGAAGTCCACTGTAGAGCATAGAAATAAAGCTAAAAGGAGCCTGGGTACAAAGAGGGTCTGGAGTGATTTGTATAATGATTTCAGTAGAGCCTGCGAGTCCTTGGAGCTCGTGGGAGTGAATGTATGACTTGGTTTCCACCCTGCAGACATCCTTGGCCTCTGCATTTTCACAGCCTCATTGATGGAGCCCTTCCTGGGCAGGTGGTGGCTTTGGGTGGTCCCCTGAGGCCCTCCTTGCTATTCTACTAGAAGCATTCCAGGGGGCCCGGAAGAGCGCCCTGCTGTGCTGTTTGCTGGATAGCGTTATGACTGAGCTCTCACAGCTGAAACCATTAAAGGCTGTTCTCCTTTTAATTTCTCCTGGTGCCTCTCTTCCCTGCCTCAGAGAAACCTCTGATTTTCACTTGTGAGATGCTCGGCTGAGCTTGTCATACCCTAAAAGGTGATTTCAGTTCTCTGATGCCAAAGAGCCCTTTTCTGTTAATCAAAACACAGCTGCAGAGGCCCGTGTGATTTGCTAATGGGCACCCCAACTCGGGGGTATGTCTGTCTATACCTGGAAAATAGATGTAATTAGGATAACAGATATCATAAGGATATGCTAATGCATCAGGTAAAAAAAAAAATGGGCTGAGAAGGCGACAGGCTCACGATGCTGAATCCCACGAGGCCAGCTGTGCAACTTAACCAGAAGCCAACGCCATCACCCACAAGTCTCCAGTACCAGTTCTGGAGTCCTCTCTGCATCCGTCTCCTCCCCTCTGCTGGGTGCCTCATACACATAAATTACATTAATCTCGTTGAGGATTTTATTTTTATTTAATGTACGTGAATGTTTGCCTGAATGTGTGTCTGTTCTGTGCGTCACATGCATGCAGCGTGTTTTGACAGTGGAAGAGGGCATCAGATCTCCTGCGACTGGAGTTACAAATGCTTATGAGATGCCATGTGGGAGCGAGTGTTTGATGTCCACTCCCCACCCCTGCTTTATCCTCTGAAAGACCAGCCAGTGTTCTTAACTGCTGGGCTGTCCCTTTAGTCTCCTGTTTCCAATATCAACTTAGGTATCCTTAATTCTCTGTAGATAAGTCCAGGTTTGATGACATGGCGGGGACTGTAGTATCTTAGAGGTGTGTGGGGTCGAGAGGGTCAAGAAAAGAGCCATTTCAGTAGGGCCCTATCCTAGAATGACAGTGTTGTGTCTGGAGATGACCTGGTACATCCTTCAGATCAGGTACCACCATGAGAAGAGGTCAAGGAACTTGTCAGAAGAGGCTGGTCCCTCTCTGTTGCTGCCTTCCTGCCGTGTGCACTTAGAAAAGGGACTCAGCTTTCTGTGCCTTACAACCTTCATCCTAAAATGGCCTCAGTCCTATTACCTCATGGCAAGGGCCTGGAATGGTGGGAGCTCAGATAACATCACAGTCTGTGGAGCAGTAAAGAAAGTGAAGGAACAGCCCAGCGCCCTTGTTCCACAATATCACCCCATCTCTCTGCCCTAAGATGATATTTCCTGCTCTGAGCCTCAGTTTCCTCATCTGCAGCTTGCCTTTTCACTTTCTATCTCTGCTCCTTCTCTCTCACCTTACTGTCTTCACACAGTCTGACTTAGGTGGGAGGCCGTGCTGCATTCAATCAGGACATGCATGAAGCGTAGCAAAACCCTGGGACAAGGTAATCTATCAGAACGAACTCAGAAGTACCTAGTTAGGTTTCAGGTCTTCCTGGAGCTTTCTTAAGACCCATTAGTTGATGGCTCCAGAGACTTTCCACTGGTTGCTTCATCTGACAACTCTGACAATCTTCCACTGGCTCCATGGCCCCTTAACCCTGACATTATAATGCTTGGCCACTCCCATTTGATCTTCTCAGAACTTAGAGGATGCTCTAAACAGCTGAGCGTAGACCCCTGTTTTTACTTCGGCCCTGGGCCCAGTCATGGATTCCGAATTCTCCATCCAAAGTACCCTTAGCCTGGCTGCAGGCTAATCTTAAAAGCTCCATTTGGGAGACATCACACCAAGTATCCTTATTCAGCTCTGGGTTAAAACATGGCCTCAAAATATATTGGACAAATGGATACTGCTAGACCAAATTGGGAATTTTCCATTTCTAATACCTAAACTAATTTAGGTAACTCTGTAAGATGGAATGGCAGCATGGCCCAAGGCCCATAAAACCCACAGTTCACTGTAATCTTTCTTAAGACTCTGGCTTACAACTATACCAAGAGCCTAAATACTAAGATATAAAGTCATTTTAGGCTGTCTTCTTCCATCTGCAGATATACACAAACTGGTTATGTATATGTAGATTACTGATTTAATCTTACAGAGATTCAAGTTTCTTTTGCGTATGGACAATATTGAAAAATTATTGCACGTTGTTCTACTCAACTGAAAAGGCTGGTTCAGGAGTTAGATTTTGGACCATCTGTCCCAGACACAAGCCCATTGGTTTAAAAGTTTCCTCCAAAGACTCTGTCCTGGCTCAAGAAGGTCTCCTGACTCTGTGACCAGGAGAAGGAGAGGAAAACAAAATATCCAGGAGCAGACACTTTGCTCTTGAGAATAAGAAGAAATTGTTTCCCACAGAAGTTACAAATGGCAAGGTGTTCAACTCTCTAAATCTTCCCCCTCCCTTGTTTGCTTGGTTTTGTCCTTAAAGCTTTTATTAAAACTTTAACATTCTATATTTTAGGATTTATAAGTTCATCGAGTGTGATTATAAAAGGATGTACAGATGGCCTTAATTTGCTATTAACATACTATGTACATAACTTGGATTCAACTTTGGTATAGGAAAAGGGTGCCTGATGGGCTAAACTCGAGTACCATGTCACTTGCTGCCATCTTGGTTGATGGCATGACCTAGGCTCACCTTGGCGTAACCATGTGGCTCATCTTGGTGCCATCTTGGAAACCATGTGACTCAGCCACCATCTTTATTAAGGTTAAAGAAAGGGCATATCATGTGACTTCATCACTTGGTTAAGGTGACCATATGATATAAACCAATTAAAATGGCATGCATAAGACAGCTACACCCGCTGAGTTCTCTGTTTATCATTATATCTCCCTTTGATGAGACCAAGGAGGTAACGCTGGGCTTCCAACATGGTTTGTTTTGAATTGAGTCAAAAACAAACAAACAAACAAGCAAACAAACAAAAACAAAACCAACCAACCAACCAAAGAAACCTTGCCATTTTGTAAAACTAAACTAAAAAATGGCCAATCTCCCAATCTCTCTGTGAACTGTATTTATGGTTTACAGTTTATTTTATTACTAAACAATTTATAATTTAAGAAGTATATTTTTTAAGGTTCAAAATTAACAGGGATAAAAAATCATAAAATCCTAATCTTATAAAAGTATTATTAATTGCAACCTGTTAAAGATAATTAATATATACATGTTAATGCTCAGTCATGCTAAGTATAACTGTAATTTACTTACAGAGATGAACTTGGAGAGAGAGAAACCAGTTTTCCTCTCCTGTCATGTAGCTTTGTTATACCATATAACATTCTTCATATGTTGTCAGATTAAGCCTAAAGCAAGTATAGTAAAGCCAGACAAAGTCTTTGTTAATTCAGTCCATGTTATGTGCAAATGATTACAGATTTGACATGACTGACTGATTTCATCTTTCACCTATTGGTTGAGTGTATGGAATGAGAATGTAGAGATTTTTTGAAGTTTCTGTAAATGGGGTTAATTTCATAAAACTCAGAACAGTTAATCATTTACTCTTGACCAGGCAGATACTGTCTCTAGGAGTATACTTTTGAAATTGGAAATTGGAAACAAACTTTTTTTTTCAGGAATAAAACTTGAAATAAATTGTCTCCTTATACAGCATGACAGTATAAAATATATTAACTATGTAATCTTACAATATAGCTTTATTAATTCATGTTAACAAAAATATGTGTTGTCTTATTTTCAAGTACAGGTCGTTAAGTTAATAGTCCCAATTTTTAAAATTTCACCCTACCAAATTGTTTCTAACCAAAATTTTGTTTTACTTGAAATATTCTGTTTTTGGTCATTAAATAATAACCGATATTGTAAGTATTTGGAATATACAAAGTTCACCATACTTGAAAGCAAGGAATATCACTTAGAACTTTTCTGTTGAGACTCATTCCTTAGGTGCTGAGTTTACTAACTCTCTTACAGAGCTTCCAGGGGCTCATCCTTGTGCTGAAATCTGATGTAACAAACAGCTAATCAGTCACCTTGTCCTTCTACAGAGCTCTGGTGCGTGTGTGGTCCAGCCAGTTGGACAATTGCTTCAAGAATGCAGGATGACAATCAATTGAACCATTGCTGTGGACCAAGTTTAAGACTCTTCTTCTGCTTCATGACCAAAGGAACTCCTCTTTGATGGACCCAGAACTACCCTCTCCTACAAAGACCCTCCTCAGTAAAAAAACAGCTCTAATGCCTCTGGCATGCATTTCTATATCCTTTCAGAGTTAGCAATGATAGCTTCCTGCCGAAGGACTACTCTTCCCAGCTCCCCTTGCAGATTGCAGTAGTCATTCCTGCCCCCATAAGAGTCCGCACTCCATCTTTCTCTGTTGGCATTTTGGCTCTCTTTTTGTTTGTTTGTTTGTTTGTTTGTTTGGTTTTTCGAGACAGGGTTTCTCTGAGTAGCCATGGCTGTACTGGAACTCACTCTGTAGACCAGGCTAGCCTCGAACTCTGGAACTCAGAAATCCGCCTGCCTCTGCCTCCCAAGTGCTGGGATTAAAGGCGTGCGCCACCACCGCCCGGCTTGCATTTTGGCTCTCTTCATGAAGAGGGACAAAGATGCTCCCTCAACATGAATGTACATAGTCCCACCTGAGGTCAGACCAAGCCTCTCTTTCTATCCTCTCTGTCTGTCTCTCTCTGTCTCTCTCTCATTCTCTCTC